AATCTCTATTTGTTGATCCACTGTTATCATACTTTCCTGTAATTATTTAAACATGTGCCCTTTAGTTCCTTGAATATACAGTTGATCTTTAAGAACACAGTGGTTAGGGTGCTGACCCACCACACAATCAATGATCTGTGTATAACTTTTAACTCACTCAAAATTTAACTGCCAATATCCTACTGTTGACCAGAAGTCTTACTGATAAAATAGTAAATTAACACATATTTTGTATGTTATATGTATTATATATTGTATTCTTACAATAAAGTAAGCTAGAGAAAAGAAGTTTTTTTTTTTTTTTATTTTTTTTTATTTTTAGATCGAGAGAGAGAGAGAGACCACACAAGCAGGGGAGAGGGACAGAGACAGTGAGAGAGAGGATTTTAAACAGCTTCCATGAGGAGAGCACAGCCTAATCCCATGACCCTGGGATCATGACCTGAGCCAAAATCAAGAGTTGGACACTAAGCTAACTGAGCTACTCAAGTGCCTTAAGAAAAGATGATGTTAATAAGAAAATCATAAAAAAATACATTTATATTACTGTACTATATTTATAAATAAAAGAATCTATGTAAAAGTGGACCCTCCCACTTTGAACCCATGCTGTTCAAGAGTAAACTGTATTATAATAGCCCTCCTGAATTATTTTTCACTAAACTGAACATCTGGGAACACTCAGTGAGTTTCTATTGACTGTCTTTTGGTTGCTGTGGTAAAATACATATAACAAAATTTATTATATTATACATAAGTGCACAGTTCAGTGTCATGAATTGCATTCACGTTATTATTAGAACCATCACAATCACCAATCTCTGGAACATTTCACCTTCCCAAACTGAAACGTTGTACCCATTAAACAATAACTCCTCATTCCCCTGGACCCCTGGTAATCACCATTTTACTTTTTGACTGTATATTTCTTCTTGAGTATCTGTCAGTTTCCCATTTTTTTCATGTCTCACTTTTTTTTTTTTTTTTACTGGAGATTTTGGATAATATATAGTAGCAACTCTAGAATTGGGTTATTTTCCATTTGAAGGTTATTGTTGCTGGTTTAATAACTTACCTGGCCTAAATCTGTGAAATGTGTTTTTCTCATGATATTTTTATCTTATGTATTTGTTTAGGTTTTTAAATTCCTGTTTTTACTTTTAATTCTAGCTTGCTAAAGTTTGCCCTGTTTCATTGTAGCCTAGTTGTCAGCCAATGATTGGATGGTCATTTTGCTCAAATAACATTTAGTGAATTATGCTTATTAGGCTTCCATTCTCTGCTGATAGATCTTTGTGTGGGTAAGAGAGCACAAAGTTCAGACTGTTTTCAAGTCTTCTCTGGCTTTTATATTCTGCTGGGCTTTGTGTGTCCTCTATGCACATAGATGATATAGCCTCAGAATTGGCTCAGAGTATAGGAAAATCTTGGAGCCTCCTTGGTATCCACTGCACATGTGTTTAGCCTTAGCCAGAAGTGTGCTTGTTCCAACCACAACCGTAACCACAACTTTAGGCTTTGACCTTTCACGTGGCCAAGATCTTGATTCCACTAACAGTTCTGCTGTGCATGATCACCACATCCAAGTCAAGGAGTCTCTTCTGACCACAGCAACATACATAACCTGCCCCTCCTGCAGAACTTCCACACCAAGCAAAATAGGAAGAAGAGATGAGAGCAAGAATGTAGAGATTTCCACTATTCTTTTCTGAAGTTCAACAGTTTTTGAAGCATAAATTCTTCTCAGCTTGTTGTATTACATGGTTTGATTTCCAGAGATCTGAAATGGTTGTGAGGTGTTTTTATCCAGGTTTACATTTGCTTTTGGCAGGGGGGTGCTAGCAGGAGAAGATTTTCCAACTTCCTCACTTTAATATAGCTTGAAGTCTGTTTTTAAATCACTTTCTTACAGAGAAGAAATTCTCAGAGTGTGGTCCTCAGATAGGCATGTCAGCGTCAATGGGGAACTTGTTAGAAATGTAAATTCTTAGGCTCCACCTCAGACCTACTAAACCAGAAACTCTGGATATAGGGCTCAGTAATAAGAGTTTTAACAAGCCCTTCAGGCAATTCTGAATGCACACTAAAGTTTAAAACCCTAATTTAGAGCATATTTAATAATAATAATTGTTGTTGGAGTTCTCTATTTCAAGGGAAAATAACCAAATATAAGACCCTTTTAGGTGTTTCATCAAAGTCATCTTGTATGATTTGACAAAGGATTTATGAAACACTAGCCTATCCTTTGCACTCTTGGGTCCAAAATATTGGCATGAGTACTTTTTTTAGACCAAAAAATAGTGTGGCAAAAAAAGTACTACACAGGATTTAAGAGCACCAACCTGAATGTTATCTAGATGTACTACCATGCTACATTCCAACTTATGGGAGCTGAGATTTAGTACCATTGCCTCTTCAAAAATGTATGCCCAATATGACAGTTTTTCTTCACTAAAAAGACTTGACTGTATCAAGATAATGAAGACATATTTTTGCACAACTGCTACATATATTCCTAAAAGTTACATTATTTATAGACCTTCATTTTAAAGGCACAAGGTCATTCTTCTTCCAACCAAAAGTATCCTTATAGTAATCTTTTGTAATTAGTGGTCCCTATAGCTACATGAATACATGTTTAAAAAATGCTTACTGAGGGGCGCCTGGGTGGCTCAGTCTGTTAAGCGTCCAACTTCGGCTCAGGTCATGATCTCACAGTTTGTGGGTTCGAACCCCACGTCAGGCTCTGTGCTAACAGCTAGCTCAGAGCCTGAAGCCTGCTTCAAATTCTGCGTCTCCCTCTCTCTCTGACCCTCCCCTGCCCACGTTGTGTCTCTCTCTCTTAGAAACAAATAAAACATACAAAAAAATTTTAAAAAAAATAAACAATGCTTACTGAAAAAAACTTCAGAATATCTGTATTATATAATGTATTTATGCAAAGTTTTGAGGTAAAACATTATTACTTATTGTTTATAGATACATGTGTATATAGAACTAAGACAAACAGAAAGATATACATGAAATGCATGATAATGACTGCCTGTGTGTGGAGGCAAAATAAAACTGGGAAGATAAGTCAAAGAGGTTTTAGTTTTATAATGTTTTCTTTTATTTAAAAATATGTTAAAATCCTCACAGATTCTGAGTATTAGAAATACTATTTTCTCAGGATGAAGTATAGGGAAGAACTCTTGAGTTAAAGAATGAACAATGCAGCTTACTTGAACTGAGGGGCAGTTCTCAAACAGAAGGCACAGATAGGCCTAGTAAATACTGATTCTTCTGTTTCTAGAGAATAACTCTTAGGGTTCAAAGATATTTCTAGAAAATGAGAGTTAGACATAGAGATAAGACATGGAAATTCAAGAATAAAATTTGTAATCCAGATAAATCAAAAGAGAAGGGTTTGGGAGACACATAAATTTATGGCTATGTCTTTATACCTATAATTAATTTCAGATTAATTTAAATTCATGAATTTATGGTGTAATGATGAAAAGATGGGGATGTTGAGTCAGAGAGACTCAATAAAATATTGGATCTGCCAATATGTTCTCAACTTAACGTCTCTGAACTTTCAATCTTTAATCTGTAAAGTGAGAGTAAGAGTACCTATCACCCTAGGATTACCGATAGGATTAAAGGAGATAATCCAAGTCTCAATGTTAGTACAGGGCCTAGCACACAGCCAGTACCCCTTAAAGGTTAGTTATTAGTATCATCCCTTTATTCATCTGCACAACAATTAGTTGGTCAGTGCCTAGTATATGTCAGACACTATTCACATTTCTGAAGATAGAGCAAATGAACAGGACAAACACAGCCCATGATATTATAGAACCTATAATTTATCAGGAATGAGAAGCAGTTACCTAAGAAAACACTAACTTTGATGGAGACACTGTATAAAGGGTTGTAGTCCTAATGTATTCAGGCCATGCAGAGGGGTCTGCTGGAAGATCTAAAGGATGAGTAGGAGTTTATTAGGCAAATAGAGTAGGGGACTTGGACTATTAGACAGGTAGAATTATTTCTGGTTTAACAAAACTCAACTAGTGAATGCCATTTTTTATAATTATAGTAGAAATGAAACTTGGAGATTTACAAATGACTTTGTGGACTGTGTCCTGCAAAGCTGACCCTGCAGGTATGGACATCATACATATCACATTTATGAATCTCATGCCCTTAGGTGTGCTCAACCTACAGGAAGTTGTAAACATTGGCATATTTCATTTTGCAGAAGGTTTTGTGCCCCTTGCAGCTATTTATGATATTTTTTGCCAGAAATAATGCTGTAGCAGAAGCAGAGGAAGTATTTTAGCTATAAGCTCCTGACCCATTACCTCTTGCTTACCATTTCTGAGAGAATGCTCTGATGCTATGCATTTTTCCATCCTCCTGCTTCTTCTTCCAAATTTTTCACAGTTAAATCCATTGACACTCACAAAAGTCTTATTCATCCTGCTCCCAAAGCCATGTTTAGAGATTCAGATACTTAAGCAGCTTTAAACTTTCATAAGCTAGAGTTTGACTTAGGTCACCTTTTCAGACATGGAATCTGGATACTGATCTCAGCTCTGACCCCTGGGCTCTAGATTGTTGCCCAGTTCTCTGCAAATGCCATTCAGATCCAGGATGAGAGGCCCCCATAAGGATACTGGGTCATCTCTGCAGACCTCCAAGTTTCACAACATTCCCCACCCTCCACCCTTATGTGTCCAATAAGCTTCTGTTAGATTCCTTCTTCCTTCCTTCCACTCCCAGGTCTGGTTGCCTTGCTGGACATACACATTAAATGCACCATCAGTTCTGTTTTGTGGGATCCCTTGCTCCTCCCCAGTGTCACATAATTGCCTGAAAGGGGATATAATGCTATTTCTTGTTTCTCTTTCAGTGTTTTGAGAGATAACCTCACCATATATCCTGTTAAATGATGTGTTTACCTCACCTTTTCTTGGCCCGCTAATGTTGCATGAAGCTGAAATATTTCATACTCTAGGATATAATAATTTCTGATTCTGAGCATTTAAGTGCTTCAAAGAAAGGTTCCATACAGCCACCACTACACAGTATGAAATGAGTTGCTGTTAGAATAATCTTTTGTCTATATTTACATGTAAAATCTTTGTGCTTATTTGGAGTGAACTAAAGCACAATTAACTATATTATTCCCCCCCCCCAACAAAAAACAAAAACACAAAAACAAAACAAAACAAAATTCTCATTTACCACACACAGGTATTTGGATTTCTGTTACCCAACAATTCAAGTTATTCCTCTTTATTTGGATATAACTTCACCATATATTGCAATTATCCAGCACCTTTCATCTCTCACTTTTAGACTATAATAATGACAACTACAGTAATAACCACTTTGTTTTTGAAAAGCACTTTACAATGAGCAATTAGTTATTCCTCCTCTGTAAAATAGTTACATATTATAACCATCTTTTCAGAGAAGGAAACTAGGACTCAAAATAATGAATTTGTCCCAACTCATAAAAAACAAAAAAACAACAGCAAAAACAATTACTGACTTTTGGCCTAAGACAGAGCTGTAGCATATATGGAAACCAATTTGACAATAAACTATTTGTTAAAAAAAAAAAAAAAAAGGAAATTCATTCAAAGTCTGGCCAAATATCTCATTGCTTATTTCTTCCACTGATTTTTTGATACACTGAAAAAGTAAGAAAATATTCTCAAATAAAAATGTTTAAATGAGAAAAAAATTAAGACAGAGCTGTAGCAATAAGTGATCATGTAAAGTAAAAGGACTTTCTGAGTGGAGCAAAATTCCTGTGTCTGTGACTGGTCTCTTAGGACCTCCTTATATTTGCTGCCATTCATAAGTGGCCAGGTTCATTACTCCCTATATCCCATTGCATACTTCCAGTTTGGAGTCAAATAAAGGCAGCTGCAAAGAATGGAATAGGATGGGGTACCTGAGTGGCTCAGTTGTTTGAGCATCCAACTTTGGTTCAGGTCATGATCTCACGGTTTGGGAGTTCCAGCCCTGTGTCAGGCTCCGTGCTGGAGCCTGGAGCCTGCTTCAGATTCTGTGTCTTCCTCTCTCCCTGCTCCTCCCCCGCTCACACTCTGTCTCTCCCTCTCTCAAAAAATAAACATTAAAAAAAAAGAATGGAATAGGATTCTTAGAGTGCTAAAATTAAAAAGATTATTATGTGCCTTTCGAAGAAATTGCCCCACCTTGCATTATTGTGGAGCTACAAAAGATACAGTAAAGAAAACTATTCTCCCTCATAAACTGAAGGAATATAATCTAGTGATCTTATAACACAGGAGACATGACCTGCAGTATTCACTTGGATTTTTATTTCCTACTGTGCACTTAGAGGTCACATTCAGTTTTCTTGGGGACAAGGAATGGATATTTAAAACAGGAGCTCAAAAGACTCTTCCTTTGTATACTTTTGAAAAGAGTTTTAATACAAGTGGATCAGCTGCACAGGTACTATATGACTGCTAGTGTATGATTAGGTGGATATTTAGAAATATCCTGGTAGCTATGTAAAGTACTTCCTAACACTAAAGCTTTTGTTTCTGGATATTAAGTTTCTGCATCTAAGAATTTGGATCCCATTTAGTTAGCCAAATAGAGGCTATGAGGGCTCTTGAGGTTTGCAAAAATTATTTTGCAATTATTTATTCTTATCTTTGAGTATGATTTACCTATCTAAACATTTTTTTGACAGAATAACAACAGAAGTATAAAAGTCACACAAAGTGCTTACCTTTATAGGGCACATGAGTGACTCAGTCTGTTAAGCATCTGACTCTTGATTTCAGTTCAGGTTATGATCTCATGGTTTTTTGCAGTGGGCTCTACACTGACAACACGGAGCCTGCTTTAGATTATCTCTCTCCCTCTCTCTCTGTCTCACCCCTGTGCATGCGTGGCACTCCCTCTCTCTCTTTCTCTCTCTCAAAATAAGCAAACTTAAAAAAAAAAACTTAAGAAGTATTTGCTAATTATGAAACTACATTTTAAAAAGCAATCCTCCATAATCAAAAACAAAATTAAAACAAGTGAATTTAAGTATCCAGTTAAAAACATAAATACACAGAAAGACTATCTTCTAGACATGCATATTGAGATCAGATATGCAAAAGGAATCCATATATTAAAAGAAACTTAAAAGGTATAACAACTAAGCAGATAAAAGCCTTATTTATATCCCAATTTAAGAAAAAAATACAATTATAAGATAGTAGGACTAATATGAATACTGATTGGACATTTGATGATATTAAGGAATTTTTAAGTATAAAATTTTTATTAAGATGTTAAAATAAAAATGAAGGAAAGATACAATGCCTGCGTATTAAAAGTACATATCAAAATGTTTACAGACAGCATATGATTCTTGGACTGCTTCAAAATAAGCTAGGTTTCTGAGTGGATGGAAGTATAGATGAAACAAGATTAGCTATGAATTGAAGACAGTTGAAGCTGCATGATCAGAAACATGGAGTTACCGCATTACTACTATATCTTCATGTGCACATGTGTAAAATTTCCTATATGAAAACCTTTAAAAACTAATAATACAATATACTTGCCATAACAATGTTTTTTGAGGTGTTGAAGGTGGATTCAAATTCCTTCTTCCTCAAATTTACATTTTGGTAGTTTTCAGCAAGTATCTACAATTTTTTTTTTCAGTATTTATCTGAAAATGTCTTTATGTTTGCCTCAATACTTGATGATAGTTTTTGTGCGTAAAGGATTTCAAGTTGATATTAATTGTTCCCAGATGTTGCTTTTTTGCCTTTTAGCATCTACTGTTGCTGATAATTTAGCTGTCAGTCTAATAGTTGTTTCTTTGTAGAAAGTTCTTTCTGGTGTCATTTAAGTTTTCACCTTTATATTTTATGTTCTACAGCTTCACTATAATGTGTCCATTTCTCGATTTAATTTAATTTTTTATCACTAAAAATCAGTATGTGCATTCTATGGGATAACTTATTTCTGTAGCAATTGTGAAAAAGTATCAGCTATTATCTCTTCTAATATTGTATTTCAAGCTTTTACTTTCTGGAATTCCCACTGTATACATACTGGATATATTCCCTCTGTCTTCTATCTCTTTCATAAAATTTACCATCTATTTATATCTCCATGATGCATTCTGGTAATACTTATAATGCTATCTTCTAAGTCACTAATTCTCTCTTCAGTTATGTCTAAGATTTTATAAAATCTATTATTAGAGTTTTTAATTTCACATTTTTAACTCCTAGAATTTCAATTTGTTTCTTTTTTACATCTGCCTTTCTTTGACCATAATGTTTTATCATTATCTTAGAGTTTAGATTCTCATTGTTATAACTTAAATCATGTTAAACATATTTATTGGTATTTTCTAATAGTCATCTGGCTACCTTTGTAACTTGAGACTTTAGTCTTGATGTTCATTGTGATTCTTGCATACGCGGTGTGTATTTTGTAATGATTCCTCACTTTTTTTCATAATTGGCTATCTTTTAAAAGAGTTTTAGATTTGTGGAGAAATTGAGTAGATAATACAGAGAGTTTCCATGTACTTCACTCCAAGTTTCCCCTATGATTGACATCTTAAATGAGTATGATGCATTTCTTACAATTAATAAACCAATATTGACATACTAAGTTCCATAGTTTATTCATATTTCCATAGTTTTACCTAATGTTTTCTTCTGTTCTAGGATACCCTCCAGAATACCACATTACAGTGAATTGACATGTCTCCTTACATTCCTCTCAGTTTTGAGTTTCTCAGGTTTTCCTAGTTTTGCTGACCTTTATAGTTTTGAGGCATACTGATCAAGTATATTATAGGATGCCCTTCTAGTAAAATGTGTCTGATATTGTATTCATGATTAGATTAGAGTTATAGATTTTTGAGAGGAAAAAGTTACATCCTATCAGCATGATTTATCACTGTGGATGTTACTTTGATTATGTAGGTGAAGTAGCCTTTATCAGGTTCTTCTGCTATAAAATTCCTCATGTGTTTTATAATTTCTGATAATTAGATAATGTTGGTAGGTTTTGTTTGTTTGTTTTTTGTTTTTTTTCTTTTCTGAGACTACCCTGTGGCCTAGGTTTTGGGAACTTACTTCCAGAGTGATTTTAATTGCCTTCACTAGTAACCTCCAGGACCAAGTTTTATGTTATTTGCTCATGTATGGGACCCTCAGACATAAGTAATGTGGACTTAAGTACCAACACAACAAAATTACAGGTTTGGAATACTTAATTTTTAGGGGAGTCTTCCGTATAGCTTTCTTGAGCTAAAGGGGAATGTATTTCAAGTCCACCCTTCCACTGAGAGTGTAACAATTTGAGGATCTTGGCTTTAGAGGAGAATCTAAGCTTTAACCTCCTACTTTATACAACACTGTCTTGCATCCTCAAATGAGAACTAGAGTCATACTTCCTGGTATCTAATCCTCCATCACCACCTGCACTACACAAAGGCACCTAAAATATGTAATTTATATCATAGTTTTGATTCACTTTGTTTTCTCAGCACACTTTTACTTATGGCACCCATGAATTTCCATTTCTTTCTTGCAAGCTGACTGGTATACTTAATTTTTATTTCATTTTATCCATAATTTATGGATTTTTATTGAATAAAGGTTTTTTATTTCCTCAGTGTATCATATGTTTAGAATCTAAAATCCTTCTGTCAATCTTGTTGGGTCTCTCCTCCTTCTATAACACATATGTGAAAAATCGCTTCCCATGTTATCTGATCTGGAATGATATCACTATTTTATTTTAAAAATTCTACATATCAATGGTTTATTAATAGGGAGAGGAGCTATCACAATGAATCACAATAGTTCTTTACATAACTCAATGAAAGGTTTAAAAAAGATATATCATTTTACCTCAAGTGAAATTAAGATTTTAAAATTAACTGAACTTCAACCCTGAAAACTTAGAAGTAAATGTTTTTACTTTACAAAGTCTCCTTGACTTATGAAGGGGTTACATTCTGATAAGCCTATTATAGGTTGAAAATGTCCTGGGGCGCTCAGTTGGTTA